AACGCAGATGTTTTGCTGGGGAGTATAGACATCTGCAAATTTTTGGTTACGGTGATTTTGCGAGGTGCTGAATTTTGTGGAGCCCATCAAATTCAGGGTCACCCCGAGGATGACAGTGTATTGTTGAAATGCATAAAACACATTACACTCTCATATCTATGCCTGGCCATGGCAGCAGAGAACACGGCATATGATGAATCGGGTCTGCGGACCAATACAACCGCAATTCATTTCTTTTAGTAATGCCCATGTTGAGGGTTAGGCCCCAAAAAAAGTTAGTTCGGAAATCGTAATGAGTTTCCATGCGACTGGTCTGGCAAGGTTTGAATTTGGGTTGGCGGTGAAAAATTGTGGATCAAAGCAATTTATATGCACAACAATCAACGCATACAGATATTCCGTGAAAAACTGCTCCCAAAATCAAGGAGGTATGTGAAAGACCAGGATGTACTAGACCACTGGTACTTGCCAGTACCAAAAGGTAATGTGGCACTAGTACTGGCACTCTGCAGAATCAGGCCTGCTCTCTGCTGCATGTGAGAATCATCAAAATTTACCAGCAAGTGCTAACAAACACTGTGGTTTTGTGTGCAATGTATCAAGTGACTGTGACCTACTGACACTGCACTTGCTGTGGGCGAAGGGGTTAAGCGTAGGGGCTAAACGCAGGTGTCGGGGCTGATCCCGCTAACACTGCGTTTTTGGGGACACTATACTAATGTGAACGCTGGTATAGTGCTGATCTGATCAAAGATATTGACCCGTTCAGACACTATACTAGCAATGGAGGTTTATTGTGCATGAGCGTGCTCCTGGCAATCAAGGGGTTAAATGTGATGAGTGGTGTACTGACGGGCAATCTGACGCTATCTGGGAGGGGCGTGAAAACCACGGGAGCGCAAATCATGTGTATGTATGTAGTGATTTTGCGCACCCATGCCGCCATGTAGCAGTATTTCTGCTATAGGGCGGTCAGGAAGCGGTTACAGAAGCGGTTTGTGTTACATCGATCTGTTACTTTATCTGACAGATGCGCGGTCATGCAACACTGCACCCAAATTAAATTTACATCCTTTGTTTTCCCACAAATTGAGCTTTCTTTCGGTGGTATTTGATCGCCAGTGCATTTTTATTTTTTGCGCTATAAAAAAAAGGCTGCCAATTTTGAGAACAATATTTTGGACTAAGATTTTTAAATTTGTTTTACTGGACATATTTTATAGCAAATTTCTGCCAAAATGTATTCTGCGACATGTCTTTGCTTAAAAAAAAAATCCCAATACGTGTAAATTGGTTTACGTGAAAGTTTTATAGCGTCTACAAATGGCGGAAAAGATACTGGGATTTTTTTTTTATACTAATGGCGGTGATCAGCGATTTTTGGCGGGACTGCGGCGGACATTTTGACATGGGGGGACTGACTTGGGGTCACTGACACCAATACAGTGATCAGTGCAAAAAAAAAACACTGACACTGTACTAATTGCACTGGGGAGGAAGGGGTTAACTTTTTTAGGCAATGAAAGGGTTAACTGAGTGGAGCGTTTTTACTAGGGGGTGGGGGTGTGTACTTCACAGGAACACGCTGATCCGGAGAGAAACTCCTCTCAGGATCAGCATGTTAGGAGCTGACACGGAGCAGAGCTGCATTGTAAACAATGCAGCTGTGCTCTCACTGTTTGCCGGCAATTGCCAGGACCCGGCGGGTAATGACCAGCCGAGACCCTGTGATTGACACCTGTTGCCGTGATCGGCGGGATGGGTAGGGCGGGCGCGCGCCTCGTGGGCGCCCCCTACCTGTTTTGCAAAATGATGTTTTAAAACGTGTTTTTGCCCAGTGGTGCCACCTTGGGGCAGTTTTTCTAGTGGCTGGACGGCAAGCAGTTAAAGAAAGGAGATTCTTTTTATACCCACTATAATTTATTTTGTTGCTTTACAGCCTGAAATGAAGACCATTTTTGTTTTATCCAGCTGTATTTACTCAGTTCAACTTAAAACATCCAAGTGAAAGCTATAACACCAACATATCAAAAACAGAATTGTGGAGTTGGAAAAAGGATCACCCCATTGTGTCTTCTTTGCAGAGCTGCTCAAGTGCAGTTAAATTTGGTGACCATTTTGTGGACTGCAGTCTTCAAGTCAAACCCCATTGGAAATTTGTGGAATAAGTCTGGGTTCTGACTAGGCCATGCAAGGACATTCGCCTTTTTCTCCTTCAACCGCTGTGTGTGGTCATTTTTGCTGTGTGCTTTGGGCCATTGTCATTTTGGAAGGTAAACCATCTTCCCATTGACCACTTTCTAACAGATGTCAGGATAGTAGGAAAAATGGATGGGGCCAAATACCATCAAATTCTTGAGGAAAATCTGCTGCCAAGTGCTCCAGTACCTTCTGCAGAGAAACTCCATCATAGCAGGATATTACCACCTCCATGCTTTACTGTAGGAATGGTGGTGTTTGGTGAAAATCCAATACAGCTCACCATCCAGACATTTCGTTTAGTGTTGAGGCCAGATAATTAAGTTTTAGTCTCATCAGACCATAGGACATTTTTCCCATGTGGCTTCAGAATCTTTAAGGTACGCTTTTTGACAAAGCTCAGTCATGACTGCATGTAGACTTTCTTGAGGAGTGGGTTTTTTCTTGCAACCCTCCTATACAAGCAATCTGTGTGCATGTGACAGCAGTATCACAAATTCTCCACACAATGCTCACTCATAAGATCCTGCAAATGCTTCAAAGAGTTGCTGTAGACCTCTTGGTAGCCTCTTTGACAGGTTCCTCCTGGCCCTCTTATCCAGTTTGGTACAACACAGACCCTCCCTGAATCAGGACGTCTCTCCAAATACCTTCCACTTATTAAAAGGCTTTATGAATGCCTAAAAGCACAGTGAAGTCTATTAAGGTTTTGTCCATCTCCAGACTTGTGCCTGTCCACAACTTTATCCCAGAAATCTTTTGACAGTGCCTTACCACCCATAGTTTGCTTTAGTTGCACTACCAGGGGCTGAATAGCTCGGCATGAAAAGCTTCCCTGGAACATATCAAAATGACCACAGCTGTTGAGCTGTAATAAGGCCGGCAACGTGGAGGTACTGTATATGCTAGCATTATATGGTGCAAATGATAAATTTTACTCATGAAGGGCAACATTTTGTACAGCGCTATAAAAAGTTGAAAACTTAAATATGATGTACAAAATGTATTGTATTCAGTTATCAATTCCTTGTGAGATGTAGAGTATCAATGCAAAAGCTGTAATCAGAAAAAAATACCCAGCAGGAATACATAAATTAAGAATTTTTTTTTTTAAAATGCAATTTTAAAGATGTTCATTTTTAAATGTTGCTGAGAATTTATCTCAAGACAAACTAAATTGGCCAAATATGTCATATGCATTAGAAGTTACCTTCGGGGACATGCATGGCAAAATAATGAATAGAAAAAGCAGCAAGCTGTTTAAATTTGTATGCAGATGTCAGCTTTTCCTGTAAACCTTTGGCTTAGCCCTTCCCTTTCCCAACACATGAATGAGACCATTTAAGTACTAAAAGGTGGGCAGGACAGGCATGGGGTACATAAAGAGGGCGCACAGGCCTAGTGCATTACCATAAAACATGTTTAAGAAATAAAGTATGTGTTGTACTCACAAAGGACAATATAGTCAAGGCACATCATAAAGAACAGCTGGGTCAACACCGCGCTGAGTAACAGTCCGCAATAGGGAGTGTAGACATCCAATAGGCCGACGTGTTTCGAGGACTGGCCTCTTCCTCAGAGCCAACTGACAAAATGTCTGCTCCCTCTTTTTATATGCTCACTACTAGTTGAACCAAAGGTCACATGGGCTGTCCTGGACACTCCTCTATGCAGGTGGAGGTGTCACAGATCTTTTGTGTTTACTTATATGCAGGTGGAGGTGTCACAGATCTTTTGTTTACTTATACTATGTCAATTGCCCCTATTATTATTTATATATATATATATATATATATATATATATTTTTTTTTTTTTTTTTTTTTTATATTAAACTTCAAACTAGTGACAATCATAAAATCATATGAACCATAAGAAGTGTGCAAATGAAAAATAGGGGAGTGTCCAGGACAGCCCATGTGACCTGTGTTGAGGGGAATTAGTTTAGTCAAAGTTTTTACTGTTGTCCCAGGTCTCCTTTACTGAGATTTCCTCCCCCTTGTGGTCATGGTGACAATTTTCACCAGACAGGTCATGGATGGCAGTAAAATGTGGCAGAGGTTCATACCAGGGGCGGACTGACCATTTGGAAACTCGGGCACTGCCCGAGGGCCCGGGGTCAGTAGGGGGCCCCATGAGATGCCCCTGGTACCTTTTCCATAGGCTTTTTTGAGTTTTGGCAAGGACACAGGGGCCCCATGATCCCCTATTGCCCTGTGGGCCCCCACCCCATGAGATGCCCCTGGTACCTTTTTCCATAGGCTTTTTTGAGTTTGGGCAAGGACACAGGGGCCCCATGATCCCTTATTGCCCTGGGGCCCCATGAGTTGTCAGTCCGCCCCTGGTTCTTACTATCTACTAATTAAAAGTGTTATTTTGGTTTGTGCTGCTTTTTGTTTTGGTTTTTTTATTCTTTTCCCCCCCTGCCGATCTTATGAAACCATTGTCACAAGGGACGGCAAGCGGGGGTGGGGAGGGGGTATCTCTGTTGATGCCTGCAAAGCACTAAAACTTTAAGGACTGGTTCACAACTATGTAGTTCTTATTTCCCTCTCTAATAAAGATAAGATAAAAAGTAATAACTGGACATAAGAGTGTAACCACAGATGAGGACAGGGGTCTGTTGGTGTCCAAATGGTGCCTGCCTCACTGACGCTTCAAATTATTTTGCTTCAAAATTGAGTCGTTTTGCATATTTCCAATACTAGAAATCTGTTGGAAATTTTGAGCAGAAATGTTCCTTTAGCATATCTGTACAAACTGTTAAAAAAAACCTTTTACATCTTAAACTTTGTGTTTGCAGTGTGAAGATGACGGGCAGTTGTTCTTTAGCCTTGATGATGGCAATACCAAATTCACAGATTTAATTCAGCTTGTTGAGTTTTATCAGCTAAACAAAGGAGTCCTGCCTTGCAAGCTCAAGCACCACTGCATCATAGTGGCCTTATGACCTTCAAGAAAAGACTGTTTGGAAACAGTAAAGCTGGGATGGCCCTGTGTTTTGAGGGGGGTATAAATTTTGTGTTTTAAACGTGCACCTTCAGACTCTGGATTAATCAACTGGTGCCAGTTTATCACAATAGGTTGGTTTCTTGCAGATCAGCCAAGCACAGCCATGCTCTTGCTTCCCTCAAAAAATGGGTGGTATGTAGACTGGGAAATTTTTTTTAAATGCAAAAAGCTGAAAATATCATAAGGCTGGGCTGCTCATCAGAATGAAAGCCTTGAACAATATTTTTGATTGGCTACAAATGGAAGATAGTTGAGCAAGACAAACGTGGGAATAAGAACGATTGCCCTGGATTAATCTTGACAATAAAGACTGGTGCGTTTACTTTTTTAATTGAAATACATTTTTGCACTCCTTTTTTTGTTTTGTTTTTTTTTTTTGATTTTCTTGTTCAATTTTTTTTTTTCTTGATTCATGATTTGCAGCATTTTAAAAGGAGCAAGTGTGGCATTCAAATCACCCAGCAGTCCATAAACTATCATATATGCTACGACCTAAAATTATTTGGAGATGATACAATCAAGAACTTCGACAAGCTTGTGCTCCTTTTCGCCTGCATGCATCCTTTTTTTTTTTTTTTTTTTTTTTTTTTTTTTTTTTTTTTTAGAAAGCTTACTCTGAAACTAAAGCAAACCAGTCCCACCCCACCCAGCCCTCCCTCCCCCCTTTTTTTTTTTTTCTTTCTTTTTTTTTTTTTTTTCTATTCACCAAAAGCAAAATGGCTGTTAAATGTCTGTCCTAATAAGCTTGAGTCTGTAAGTGATAACTATGCATAAATGTCTGAACTACCGTTTGTCTAGCCATCTGTCTTGTTTATCAGGAAGTCATTGTTATCATACAGTAGAGGACACGATGGCCGAGGTCATTCAGAATATGCCAGGTATTGTGACAAGGTCTACCTAGAATAACAAAATTTTAGTAATTGTGTGTTTTTTTGTTTTTTTTGTTTTCTAATTCATGTTTTTTACTTGCATTTTTCTGCAGTGTTTCAGTCACCCCTAAATATACCACTGCTAAAGGGGATGACAACAATGCTCTTTTGGGATTTCATTGTAACATAACACGTTTATAGAATCTTGAACTTAATTCTGACATTTTTAAATCTTAACAGAAGAGCAACAGATGAATACAATTCAAGGCTGCGATATTTACTTGGAAATCACTCACGACCGTAAACGTTTCCTTGAAACATATCAGCTGTACTATACAACAATGGTTTAGAAACACTGTATTTTAGATTGTGGAGCACATTGTCATTACTTTATTCCATGTATTTGCCTCATATAAAATGAAGAAACTTGATTTATGTATGTTTTTCTTTTCTAGTGTACAGTATTTTATATTTGACAAGGAATGCCATGTTGCACACTGGCAGAACTTTGCAATGAATAATTTTTGATCACCGCATTGACAACCGTGCACTCGGCTGATTAAAAAGCAAAAGCCTGCAATCCTGTGTGCCATTTCATATTGACTTGGAACAATTACAGCTTTTATTACATTAGACTTATTGGTTTCAGTTATCAAGCAATGCCTCATTAAGTCTGATACAAGAATTAAATAAAATAAATCATGTGACTAGTGTAACTTTTACCAGTGTTTTCCGTCTCTATTCTGTATTGGTACATTTTATTTGTTGGCTATTAACAGTTTTTTTTTTTTTTGAGGTTATTTCTAAAGCTCCCAAACATCTGAGAATTCTAAACTTTTCTGGCAAAGTCCGGGCAAACGGTTTTTTTTTTTTTCTTCCTAAAATATGCTGTGTAAAAAAAAAAAAAAAATAAATTTAAAAAATAAAAAAAAAATTCACACAAGGTGTAGACCACTTGCGATAACTGCTCTTTCTTTACAATTTCATTCATGCCAGATAATATAGCTTTCACTGTTCTTCCAGTGCTGCCACAATGAGAGCCACTGCTCCCATTCTATCTGCCCCTGCTCTCCCCTGGTCTATTCCCAAGAAGTCTTGTATTTTGTGGATAGCTCGGTTTTTTTAGCCTTTTTTACACGGTAGATTTTACGAGAAACTGCTTGCCTGGATTTTTGTCATGTTGGGAGGTGGGTGGGGGGCACAACCCTACTCTTCATACCTTTTTTTAGCAAGTCAGTTGAATGTTGGAGGTGACTATTTCTACATATCCTGATGATTTTGATACATATGAATGGAAAGACATCACTAAAAATTACTAAAAATTTAAAGAAAAATCTTGGAAACAAGATACATGGGAGCTTTAGATGACACTCACGTTTTTAGGAGCGCTTTAATTTTAGCGACTATGCATTTTCAAACTCTGGCATGAAATCAAACAAGCCAAATCACTGATTCTGCTGGGATTGTGAAAAAAAATTGGTAAAAGCATACAAAAGAAACCTTGAGATGAAAGGACATATATGCCTGCTGACATGATTTGACAATGACCTTTAGTGTCAGCCATCTTTTCTTCATATTGGAACATAATTTTGAACTGTTCCTGTTCTGTAACTTTCACTATGTTTAATAATGATACAAGTTAGGTTTAAAATCAAGAATCTTGACTATTTAAACTCTCTCTACTTGATTTTTATGCTGACTGTGACTGTTAACAATGATGTAGACTGTGACTGTTAACTATGTTGTAGACCTCTACATCTGTATCTAGTGCCTAGCAATTCATCATTTACACTTTCCAGTTTTTTAAGTGGAATAATTTGTACTTTCTAGTTGCTACCTATTGACCAGGGCAGTACTGTGAAGTATGCTGGTGTTGCCGCCAAATGTACATTTCCTTTTCGGTATCTCTCATTTTTAGGATTTCAGTGAAGTAAAATTTAACCCACCTATCAAAGTGTCAGGGCAAGTTTTTTTTAGCATTTAGTGAGAATGTGTGGATATACTTTGAATTTTTATCTTGAATATACTGAGACAAAAATTAAAGCTTGAATCATTCATTTGTATTAGACAGGTAGGTAGCATAATAAAAGCTGCACAGAATAAAATTGCCTTTGTTCTAAAGTAAACAAATGGAATTTATTTGCTTGCTTTAATCAAATTGGAAAGAATAAAATATAGACGCAACTGCATCATTGTTGCCCTTCGCATACCCATCTCTTGCATTTCTGCACACGAAAATTTTCATACTTCTGCCAGAACATTATAAACTTCTATTGGCTGCAGTTACTAAAATTTCAGTAAATGCTTAGGTATACTCCATATAATAAAGGCATATACCAGGTTCTTTGAATGTTCATACATTTGTGCAAAATTTTCTGAATGTACAAAAGTATGGATAATGTCAGCATACATTTGTGCAAAATTTTCTGAGTATGAAGTATATTGGCAGTAGCAATAACTGCTATTTGTTTATTGCCAAAAAAATAGCAGTTATTGCTACTGCCAATATACTTCATACTCAGAAAATTTTGCACAAAGACCATGAAACATAACAGCATATCTATTCATAGAATAAGTGCTTTAACTACCACCACCATGTGTAGCATTCACTGTAGGATTACTTGTAAACAAAGCTTAGGCACAGTGCATTTACTCAATGGCTGTCATTTTTGACCTGGGGTATGAGTAGTTCTAGACACCATTGCAGAGGTCAGTAGCTTCCAATTCACTCAGCATTAGAAGAGCGATGGGCCTAAAGCAGGGGTAGGCAACCTGTGGCTCTCTAGCTGTTGTGGAACTACATTTCCCATGAGGCATTGCAACATTACCAAACTGACAGTTACAGCTATGACTTTCAGAGGCATGATGGAACTTGTAGTCCTGCAACATCTGGAGAGCCGCAGGTTGCCTACCCCTGCTTTAGGCCCATCGCTCTTCTAATGCTGAGTGAATTGGAAGCTACTGACCTCTGCAATGGTGTCTAGAACTACTCATACCCCAGGTCAAAAATGACAGCCATTGAGTAAATACACTGTGCCTAAGCTGTGATACTGCATTTATTATGAATCTTGTATTGCATGCATGTACAGTCTGTATGTGCTATAGATGACCATGTATTGCAAAACTATACAGGGCTTGAAATATGCAATACAGGTATATGCCTGAGCGAGCAGCAGGAAATGATATTCGTGCATTGCAAATGTTTAGCCCAGTAGACTTGAGTCACTATACTGACTTTTTCTACAACTGCTTGTGGCAAATTGAATTATTGCCCTGTTCTGACATTTTATTTTAATGGGCTGTTTTCTTGCTCAATATTCACATAACATTCATCCAAGATTCATACATTTTTTTTTTTCCAATTTAAATAAAACATTGTGCATCTTGGATGAGTTGTGTGAAGATCTGTATAAATGGACTTGATGTGTTTTGCTATTGGTTCAAAATTACTAGATTTACTCATGTTGAATTTGCCCAAAATGAACCACTTATAATTGAAATGAAATTTGTAGCAATGCCTAAACATGTGGTTACAATAATGGATGTGTTGTGCTACACCTACTTTTAGGGTGTAACATGTTCAGCATCTGCTTACTATTTTTCCCTCAACACTGACATCATCCCTGGGATCTTTTCCCCGCACCTTCTGTCACAAGTCAGTGCGCGGCTGTGCAGAGCTCTGCCCATGCCATTCAGAGTTCTGTGAATTAATGAACTACAAGAACAGTCATCTATTGCGGCTGACTGGTTGTAGTACTCAATGAACTTACTAGGGTGCTGAACGCTCTGGTAGTTGAGCTTTCTGGTAACTGGACAGCTACACAGTCTACATGAACCTGACACTGCACTCAACAGCTTTACTGTGCTTTTCAGGTTCCTAAAAATGCACATTTTTTCTATCTGCCAAAAATATGATTTTTTTTTTTTTTTTAAGGTGAACTTAATCTTTAAGGTTACTTGCACAAGTGGCATACAAGTTATGTTTGGGTTTAGTGTCCCAGACTTAAAATGTATTTGGTTTTTGCAAATTTGACTGCAGAAATAGACGGTTTTCACACAGAATACTTTA